TGCTCCCGAATGCCTGCCAGGAGTAATCTCTGAGCACAGAGCCAAGAGTAATTCCTGAGGGGCTGGAGCGATAGCACAGCGGGTAGGGCGTTTACCTTGCATGCGGCTGACCCAGGTTGATTCTCAGCATCCTTTATAGTCCTCTGAGCACTGCCAGGAGTGATTCCTGAGTGCAGAGCCCGGAGTAACCCCTGTGCATCGCCGGGTGTAACCCAAAAAGAAAAAAAAAAGTAATTTCTGAGCACTTCTGGGTGTGGTCTCCCCCAGAACAAACAAGCAAAAAAAGGCACCTGCCTCTGTCTGAGGTGGTTCTGAGAGCCTCATCAGGCCCTATCTCTCTGTTCTCCTCTCACCCATAGGAGCAGGCCTCTGAGTGGACGGAATAAGGCAGACAATCCTGTCCTACCGGCTGAGGCCTCTCCCCAGGCAAGGAGCTGCCCTTCCTGCTGGGCCACACTCTGCAGGCATGTGGTCAGGGAGAGGCCAAGACGGGAGTGGCGGATGTGGGACAGAGGTGGAGGCCCAGAGACCAGGAGAACCCCAACCCCCCAGAACCTGACAGGGCTTTACATGTCTTCATTGCTCTGGTGGTGTGAAAATATTGAGCAGCCTAATTCTTTGTTCTCAGGAATCACTCCTGGTGGTGCTCAGGGAACCATATGGGATACTGAGGATTAAATTTAGGTCGACTGCGTGCAAGGCAAACACCCTACCTGCTGTACTATCTCTCCGGCCCCAAGCAGCCTAGTTCTTTCCTTGACACATATCCCTGTCTCTCTGGGGCATTTCTAATGACATTTAGGCTGGATTTGGGTGGAAGGATGAAAGCAATAATCATCAAAACCTGTTTGGGGGGCCAGAGCAATAGCACAGTAGGAAGGGCATTTTCCTTGCACATAGCCAACCTGGGTTCGATCCCCAGCATCTCATATGGCCCCCCAATCACCATCAGGAGTAATTTCTGAGTATTACTGGGTGTGATCCAAAAAGGAAAAAAAAAAACCTTATTTGGAAAAATAACAAAATGCCTCAGAAATGAACCAAAAAAAAAAATCATGACAAATGTTTCCTCTTCCTCAAAAAACAATGTTAACCTTTGGGAGATTTTATCATTTTAGAGCAAACACCCATATAATTGTTTGTTTGGTTGGTTCTGGTTTGGGGGCCCCACCCGGCGATGCATAGGGCTTACTCCTGACTCTGTACTCAGAGACCTCTCCTGGCGAGGGTCCAGGGGACTGTCTGGGGTGCCAGGTAAGATAGCAAGCGCCTTCCCCACTGTACTATTGCTCAAGTACAGTTTATAGGGAAAAAGCTGACTGTAAACCTGCTAATCTCCATGAACTCCACAGACATTCTTTAAAGACCCCAAGGCAAGGGAGCAGGCAGGGAGTGGCCAATCTGAATTCAATTCCTGACACCCCAATATGGTCCCGTGATCCCCACCAAGAGTGATCCCTGAGCACAGAGCCAGGAGCAACTCCTGAGTATCACCAGGATGTGACCCCAAAACCAAAATTAAATTGTAAATCTATGATGAAATGATGATTCTATTAAATATATGTGAATTCTTATTTAAATTTATACAGATGTACCAATATGAAATTTTTAAAATCCAAAGAGGACTTTTATCTTGGTTGGAACACACTTGAGGGATGCTTACTGGGAAGTGAAGCAAAAAACACTCCCATTTCTTCTAAGTTTTTATAATCTTTTTTGGGGTTATTGTTTGTTTTGCTTTGGGGGCCATACCTGATGATGCTCAGGGCTTACTCCTGGCTCTGTGCTCAGGGATCACTCTTTTAATTTAATTTAATTTAATTTATTTTTTAATGAATCACCGTGAGATAGTTACAGACTTACAAATTTTCATGATTACATTTTAGTCATACAATGATTGAATATCCATCCCTCCACCAGTGCCCATTTTTCACCAACAATGTTCCCAGTATCCCTCCCACCAATCCCATTCCTTTCCACTCCCTGCCTTTGTGGCAGGCACATTTCCGCTTTCTCTCTCTCTCTCTCTCTCTCTCTCTCTCTCTCAGGGTTCACTCTTGGTGGGGCTCCAGGAGCCATGTGCAGTGCCAGGGGTTGGACTGGGATCAGCATGTGCAAAGCACATGCCTTAAGATGTGTATAATCTCTCTGGCCCCAACATTTTGCCATCTTTAAAGTGGGAAGATTACAAACAATTTTTGCTTTTTTGGGGGGCGGACACACCCAGCAGTGTTCAGGAGTTACTCCTGACTCTGCACTCCTGGTGGGGCTTGAGAAACTATATGGGATGCCGGGGATCCCTGGTCGGCTGCATGCAAAGCAAGTGCCCTATTCATATATTATCGCTCTGGCCCCTAGTTTTGCTTTTGTAAAAAAGTGTTTTCCTCAGGAGCCAGAGAGATAGCTCAAAGGGCCCAGTGCAAACTTGCATGCTGGAAGCCAGGTTCAAACCCTGGTATACCCCACATGGCTCCCCCACCCCCAACAGCAGCACCAGAAAGGATCCCCAAGCACAGGGTAGCTCCCAGCACCATCAGGTATTGCCCCCCCGCCCCCAATCAAAAAGAAGAGTGACCCATTCTTTTAAACTTAAAAAAGAATGAAAAAAAAAACAACAACCTTGAATTCCCTTCTTTTGAAAGAAAGACCAACCCTGCTTATATATCCAGAGGAATGTATCAGATTTTGTACTGCTTCTGACTTGAAGATTTTTCTGTTCTGAACTTTCAGAGCTTTCCCTTGTTAAAACAGAGCACAATTGTTCTTCTGACTGTGGTAGGATCTTTTTATTTTTTGTTTGAAGTGGGGGAGGAGGGGAGTGTCACACACCCAGCAGCTTACTCCTGGCTCTGCGCTCAGGGATCACTCCATGGACTCAGGACCATATGAAGCTCTGGACATCAAACCCTGGTCAGCTGCCTGCATGGCAAATACCCTATTCACTAAACTATTGCTTTGGCTCAAAAGTTCTACTTTCTTTACAGTGTGCAGGGCACTTGCCTTGAATGCAGCTGACCCTGTTTTGATCCCTAGCACTGCAAAATAGTCCCTTGAGCACTATCAGGAGTGATCCCTTAGCACACCCTAAGCACCAAGTGAATGCTTACCACCAAATTCCACCACCACTCCACCTTGTACACATCCCTCCACTCAAAATAGCACTGTAGCACTGTCCTCCTGTTGTTCATCGATTTGCTCGAGCGGGCGCCAGTAATGTCTCCATTGTGAGACTTCTTGTTATTGTGTTTGGCATATCGAATACCCCACGGGGAGCTTGCCAGGCTCTACCGTGAGGGCGAGATACTCTTGGTAGCTTGCCAGGCTCTCTGAGAGGGGCAGAAGAATCAAACCCAGGTTGGCTGCGTGCAAGGCAAATGCCATACCCTCTGTGCTATCACTCCAGCCCTGACTCAAAATATATCTTTAAAAATTTTATTTTGATTTTTGGGCAACAACCAGTGGTGCACAGGACTTATTCCTGGCTCTGTGCTCAGGAATAATTTTTGGCAGGACTTAGGGGACCACGTAGGGTCCTGAGGACCAAACCCGAGTGAGCCATGCATGTGCAAGGTGCCCTACCCACTGTACTATCCCTCTGGCCCCCTTTACAGATTTCTTACAAGCCTACGTTTCAAAGCTGGCATTTGAATCTTCAGAGCTGTCAGAGATGAGTGGGGTGAGTGAGGAGCCTGTAAACTCTACTTGATGCAGAAGAAAATCAGCCCTCCTTGGGGTCAGAGCGTTAGCACAGTAGGTAGGGTGTTTGTCTTGCACGCGGCCGACCCGGATTCGATTCCCAGCATCCCATATGATTCCCTGAGCACCGCCAGGAGTAATTCCTGTGCATCACCAGGTGTGACCAAAAAAAAAAAAAAGAAAAGAAAAATAAAAGAAAATAAAAGAAAAGAGAGTCACCCTCCACCCAGCAGGAGCCAGCTGCTGGAACATGACTGGCGGGCAGGCTGACGTGGAAGGAAAATAGAGCACTGGCGAGATTCCAAGATCCTTAAACCTCTGTCCTACATCCCTTAAAAAGAATATGCTGGAAGCAATAGGCCCTGGAAGGAGGATGTCTGTCATGAGTACTATCTCCACAGCCTGACACCTCAAGTTTGCCTCCAGAAGAATCCCCCTTCCCAGACCCGCCACTGACTGCCTCTTTAGCAGATGCCTTTCCTTCCCCAACCAAAGGATGGGACCAAACCTGAACCAAGACAGTGCGGTGGGACCTCAGGATCTTGGAGAAAGCCACTGTAGGGAGACCCTTTGTCAGGGCGGTGTCACTTAGCTCTAAAGATGTAAGCCTGGCATGCCAGGAAAATACTGAGAATGAAGCAGGTTTCCTGGGAACCCAGATGGCATCCCTCCATCCAGATAGGCCTGAGGACTGACTCCATTCCTTGAATCATGACGCCCATGTTCATGTGAGCACTCATTCATTCATTCATTCATTCATCTCAGCACCAGATGAATGAATACCTGCCATCTCCCATGACAGTGATCTGGTTCACTCACTCACCTTTGCCCCAGCAAAAAAAAAAATTCATTTATCCAATCTGTATTTATTGAATATTCAGGCTCAGCCCTGGGCAAGGGAAAAGAAAGTGACAGTGACAAAATTTGTTCCTGCCCTCATGGCAATGCCCATCTCCCAGAGCTTCAAGAGACCACTGTTCATGGTTCCACCATAATGACATCTGTCATGAGGGAAAGGCTTAATCAGCTCCAAGAGAGGGGGCAGGGGCAGGGAAGAGCCCCTGAGAACAGAGCACTAAAAGATGGGCCAGGTGGGGTGGATGGTTATGGGTTCATGCATACTGTCTCGGCTAGTCTTGTTACGGGACCCTCCTGACCAAGTCCCAGCAGAGCCTAGAAACACAGTCCAAGGTCTTTGGATGGAAAGCAGGAAGGATGCCCTAAGGAGGCCCACAGGCCTCAGTCCAGGGGATACAGAGCTGCCTGGGAGGCAGAGGGATGCATTGGGTCAGCCAGTCTTGTGTTCACAGGACGGTGTAGAGGTACATCGCCAACAGCATCACAGGCAGCTGGATAAAAGGCAGGCAAATGGAGTGGGGCTCCACATGCCCCCAGCCCACACTCCCCCTACCCAGCCCACTGGCTTCCCGCCTCTTACCGTCCACATCAGAATGGCAAACCCAAACCATGAGATGCCCCACGTGTAGCTGTCGATGGCATGGCCAATGTGCTCGAAGCAGCCCTAGACAGGGGACAGAGGGCTTGAGAAAATGTCCAAGGTGACTGGCAGTAGGAGGCCTTGGGCAAGGTACTGTCTTCCTGGACCTTGCTTTTCCCATCTGGATAATGGGCCCACAAAGGCGTCTACTGCCCTAGGTGGAATGTGGTGTCCGGTGCCCTGGGCAAGCACATGGTGCCCAGAAGGTGATCATGAGGGTCGAGGCGTCTCGTCCTGTTGCCCTCAAGTAACTGGGGTGTGACATGCACCTCTAGAATCATTCGACATCTGCATCCTCACTTAGAGATGAGGCTGAGGGGCTGGGGGTCCCACATCCCGACACTTCTTGCACAGTCCTGGCCCCACTGGGCTAGAGTAAAGGTTTAGTGTGTGTCCCGGAGTCAGACGGGATGGAACAGTTTGGGGTGGGGCACCCCGTATTTGCTGGCTGGGGTCTCAGTAGGACTGACCTTCTGAACCTCTGCTTTCCCACGTGGGAAATGGCCAGCTGGACAGCACAGCCCTCAGGAAACCCTCAATGGGTATCCCGTGAGCACTTGGTACGGAGTCCGGGTTCTAGAATTGGCCGCCCCACTCTCATGGGTATATCAGACAAGTCACCACCGTGTCCCCCGCAGCACAGAGCAGCAGAGGGACATGGTTTCCCACTCACCACCTCCTGCTTCTCTCAGCCTCCGCGCTCGCCTTTTGGAAACTACAGCACCTGAGGGACAGCTTCAGCCCTCACTTAGACACCGTCACCCAGCGAGTGACCTCTGAATTCCATCCTCTGGAAAATGGGGTCATCCTGATCCTTCTCTCACAGGGGAGAAGATAAAAATAAAGTCCTGGGCTTGGGCTGGAGCAATAGTACAGTCAGTAGGGCGTTTGCCTTGCATGCAGCCGACCTGAGTTCAATCCCTGGCATCCCATATGGTCCCCCAAGCACTGCCAGAAGTGATTCCTGAGTGCAGAGCCAGGAGTAACCCCTGAGCATCACGGCGTGTGACCCCCTCCCCCCCAAAAAATAATCCTGGGCTTGGGGCTAGAGCTCCAAAAGCTGGAATGGGTGCTTCATATGAGGGAGGCCCCAGCCCCAGCCCCGGCACCCCACAGTCCCCTGGCCCCAGAGGACACCCTGCAGACTTGGCAAGGGAGGGATGGAGGGACAGAGGGGTGGGAGGGTGGGGTGGTGACTCCCAGCTAGGGGGAGGGTGAGACCCAGGGTTCAGGGAGAGTGGGAGCAGGGCAAGGACACACCTTCGTGAACAGGTAATCCACGTGGCCCACACGGCATCCTTCCTCGTTGAGGGGGATGAAGTTGCCTGTCCGGCGACAGCATAACGGGGGCCAGGGGAACACCACCTCTGGGGTGGCTGCTCGGAAGACCGAGGTGAAGTTCACCCAGTCCATGGGGCCAGAGGTGCCGCAGCACTGTTGCTGGAGAGAAAGGCCAGGGTCAGGCCGGCCCCCACTGGCCCCCATGGCTGGACTGGCTTCCCCATATCCCCCAGTCTCCAGTGTCTGTGCAGTGAGCAAAGCTCGGAAGATGTCTGGCACTGGGAGGCTGTTGGGGGATGGGAAGCTAGGCTGACTTCCGGGTCTGGGTCCATTTGGTTTGCGCTCATCAAAACCTGCTTAAGGAGGCTGGAGTGACAGCACAGCAGGTAGGGCGTTTGCCTTGCACGTGGCCAACCAGGGTTCGATTCTGAGCATCTAATATGGTCCTCCAGCACCCACAGGAGTAATTCCTGAGTGCCTGAGCCAGGAGTAACCCCTGTGCATCGCCGGGTGTGACCCAAAAAAGAAAAAAAAATAAGACACGCGAAGGGGAAGACGCTTTGGGCTTCTTTGGTCCCCTCGGGGTCAGTGAATCTGTGGCTCATGGAGTTTGCAGACTCTTGTCTCCAAGCGCGTGCATTTCCTCCCAGCTTGTGGTGGAGCTAAGAAGGCAGCTTTGGGGACGTGGAGCCGTGGGTCGAGTGGAGGCCTGGCTGCAGGAGACCCACATTCCATTCCTGGGGCCACAAGCATCCTGGAGCACCCCAGGTGTGACTTCTGAGCATCAACGGGGAGTAGCCCCAAAGCTTTACCGGGCACAGACCCTCCTTCCAAAAAACAAAAAGACTTCTATTTTTTTTTTCTTTTCTTTGGGAGGGTGGGGGAGGGTGATACACCTGGCAATGCTCAGGAGTTACTCCTGGCTCTGCACCCAGAACCTATTCCTGGCAGTGCTTGGGGGACCATATGGGATGCTGGGGATTGAAACTGGCTCAGGCACATGCAAAGTAGCTCCCTCCCTGCTGCACTCTGCCTCCAGCCCTTGTTGTCACCCACTTATTTATTGAGACGGTATGCCTCATGGCAGAGAGGAAGGGCCTGGATGTAGACTGCCGGGTTTGCGTGCTGGGCTCTCCCACTCACCCAGTGACTTTCCCTTTTGTGAACCTACTGGTCCTGCTGGTTTATCTAAAACAGCGATGAGAGGACTGGAGCAATAGCACAGCGGGTAGGGTGTTTGCCTTGCACGCGGCTGACCCGGGTTTGATTTCCAGCATCCCATATGGTCCCCTGAGCACCGCCAGGGGTAATTCCTGAGTGCAGAGCCAGAAGTAACCCCTGTGCATCACCGGGTGTGACCCAAAAAGCAAAAAAATAAAAAATTAAAAAATAAAACAGTGATGATCAGTGTCTTCCCTGGAAGACCCTCAAGAGTGGATTTCTCATGCACTTAGGTATCCTCTGGGAGCCAGCCCCAGCCCCTGGGACCGCCCCACCTACCTCAATCATGATGCGGTCCCAGAGGCGCGTCAGTTCCTGGCCCTGAGCTGTATCTGCACCATAGAAGGTCAACATTTGCTTGGTGATGAGGGATGGATTAGACACCATCTGCGAAGGGTCAGCAGGAATAAGTCCAGTGGGGCTGGCTGGGGCGGGGGTCATGGGCCAAGAATGTCCCCTCTCCCCCTTCCCCAGAAGCTGAGCCATCCCAGGCTTCTGCCCTGCTCACATAATCACGGTGGGTATAGGACGTTATGCAGGAAGCACACTCGAAGATGTAGACCACCAGCATGAGCAGCAGGTACTGGGGGGTGAGGAGGGGAGACAGATGGGGGGAGACAGAGAGAGGGGAGAGAGGGGCCTGGTCAGGGCAAAGTATGTGAGACCACATACACTGCCCCCAAGGCCAGAGAGAGGCACTCATTCATCAGCAGATGGTACAATCCTTAATAATAATAATGTATTAATATAATAATAAAATTATTATTATTATTTTGCTTTGGGGGGCAAACCCTGCAGTGCTCAGGGCTTGCTCCTGGCTCTGCACTCAGAATCACTCCTGGCAGGGTTCGGGCATCCCTCCCTATGGGATGCCCAGGATCAATTCTGGGTTGTCCTGGTGCAATGCAAGCGCCCCGAATCATCATCATTATGAGACTCCCAGGCATGCCCCGCACCACACCCCAGGCCTACCCAGAGCTCTCTTCTTGTGCAGAGCCGACTCCCGCTGCCCTGTCCCTCCCCCCGCCCCCCCTTCCCTGAGCGAGCTGGGGTGGAGGTGGGGCATCACCTGGGTGCGGGGAGGGGGGGGGGCCGGTTCCCCGCGGGCCGCTCACCGTGAGCACCATGGAGCGGCGGCGGGACAGCGCGGCGCCCACGCCCAAGCTGCCCACCATGAAGAAGGCGAAGCCGCAGAAGATGGCGATCCAGGCACCCGCGAAAACGTCGTCCTTGCCCGACACTCCCAGCAGCGGGTACACGCGGTACTGGTCAGCTGTCACCCACACCGTCTCGGCAAACAGGGCCAGGCCTGCCAGCTGGCCCCATGGCGGTTAGAGAGGTGCCCCGGGCCCCGCTGCTGCCAGCCCCCCAGAAGGGCACCCACCTCACCCCACCCCTGTGCTGGGGAGGGTCCCGTCAGCATCTGCCCACCTGCCCTCTTCCCCCCAAACACACACACACACACACACACCCCACAACCCACATTGTTGGGAGGTGCCATGGGCAACAGGGTGGGGTGCAGAGCAAGTGTGGGGGGCTGCTTAGTCTCAGGGCCTGGGTGGTGGGCCCTGAAGTCCATAGACTGGAATCCATCACATCAGGGCCCCTGCCCAGGCCCCCCTAAAGGCTGCTGGCTGCCACCTGGCCATAGAGGTCAAGGAGGCCACACCCCCAGGTGGCTGGCTGGGGACTCCCAGGGGTGGGGATGCGGAAATTGCAAAGGGAGGCTTCTGGGTAGAAACAAAGGTTGATAGCACTAGAACCAGGCTGGGGGGGGGGGGGGGTAGTTCAGAGGGCTGTGGCCACTGCTCACGGGAAGTCCAAGCAGCTCCAGCCCCCAGCAGGGAGTCAGTATTAACCACTGAGGCCCCTGGGTGTGGCCCCAAGCCCAGATGAAACAAACCCCAAAACAAAGAACCAATAGCCAAGAACCCCAGTCCCCTGGTGACGGCAATGGGCTGTAACAAAGTAACAAAGTAACAAAGTAATAAAACAAAGTAATCAAAGCTTCCTTTTGTCCTCTGCTTCTCAATCTTACAGATGGAGAAACTGACATTCCTGAGATTTTTTACATCACTGGACATAGAAAGTGGAAGAGCTTCTTTTCAGTTCAGCTAGTGTTTAAATTTTGGGGCACACCCTTCTATGCTCAGGGGTTAATTCTGACTCTGTGCTCAGGGATGACTCCTAGCAGTGCTCAGGAGACTATATGGGATGCCAGGAATCAAACCTGGGTTGGTAGCATGCAGGGAAGCACACTATCCACTCACTGTGCTATTGCTCCGGCCCCAAACTCAGCTACTTTTGTTTGACTTAAAAACAACAGTGTGTATGGAAACACCAAAAAAAAAAAAAAACCCAAAAAAACAAAAAAACAAAAAAAAAATCCCAGTGTGGTTTGGAGAGAAAGCATGGGAGGTGAGGCTTAGCTTGTAGCTGACCCAGGTTCTGTCCAACACCCAATATTCTCTGAGGGGCTGGAGCAATAGTACAACAGGTAGGGCCTTACACACGGCTGACCCAGGTTCGATCCCCGGCATCCCATATGGTCCCCTGAGCACTACCAGGAGTAATTCCTGAGTGCAGAACCAGGGGTGACCCCAAAAGCAAAGGGAAAAAATATGATTCCTTGAGCATGGCCAGGAGTGACTTCTGAGCACAGAGCCAGGAGCAAGCCCTGGGCATAGCTGGGTGTAATCAGCAAATCACGAAAAGAAAAAAAAAAAACATTGTGGACTGAGAGAGGGCTCAGTGAGCTGGAGCACCCGCTCTGCATGCAGGAGGCCTGATCTGATCCCCATCACCCCATAACCACATGAGCACAAGCAGGAGCCACCCCTGAGCAAGAAGTGGAGGGGCAGCCCTTGAGCACTGTTGGGTGTGCTCCCAAAGAAACAAAACCCCAAAACTCCTTACACTGATGCCATTGTTCCTGCCGAGGGGCTGCCAGCGTGCCCAGGAAGCACTTTCTGTAGCTAATTCAGATGATAGCGAGTGTTTGCCCAGCACCTTCCATGAGCTCAGGCCGTAAGCTGGGAAACACCTTACAGCAAACCCCACACTGAAGATAGATACACAGTCTCGAGACGGGAAACCGCCATGGAACAGTGAAGTGGCTCATTCCAGGTGCTCAGTTGGGGAGAAGCAGGACGCAGGACGTGGGGCCAGAATCTGGGGAGTCCTGACTTGGGGGGTCTACAGCAGGGATCTTCCACCTTCTGGAAAAACACTTCCTGTCCTGCTCAGGCCGCTCCCTCCCCACCCCTTCAGGGCCCAGAACTGGGGGATCTTACCAGAATAATGATGTTGCCCACGACCAGCAGCCCCTCCACCACCGGAGACCCCTTTTCTACCTCCGCAGAAGCCATGCCGTGCCTGCGACACAGGAGCAAGGATGAGGCCAGGAGGGACCTGACCAAGGCTCCGTCCCGGGCCCCACCCAGCTACCAGGGGCTGCCCGGTGCTCTCTGCTGGACACAGGCTGGTACCAAATATTTCTGCGTCCCACATCTGCCCACTCTGGGCTGTTTTGCAGAGGGGGACACTAAAGGTCAGGTGGAAGAGTCGCTGGCCAGCTCTTAACACTGACTCTTCCTGAGCCTTGGACAACCCCAGCTCTCTGGGCCCCATACAGACCCTGAGAGGCCCCTCTTCACCTTCTCTGTCCAAGTGTCTCTGCCCAGCGCCTCCCACAGTAACTCCCTATATAGATGCCCAAGCCTGTTCTGGGGCCAGTCTCCCCAAAGGGGACAAGGTATCTGGAGGAGGGGCCTAGCAGGCAGACCAGTCTGTGATTGGCACCCGTTCCCTCAACCCAAGTGACTTATAGACTTGAAATACCAGACCAGATGCCCCCATGGCCTCGGTCCCAGGAGGCAGAAGTGATGGAAAGGGGAGAGGACATGAAGGAGAGCGCAAGGCTGAGGGTCCCTCTGCTTACACACAGCAGAGTTGGGCTTACGTGCTGGCGCTGAACCAACTGCCTCCTCTGCCAGGCATCTGGGGAAAGTGGGACAAGGGACCCTGTAGGTCAGGTCAGGAAGGTGGAAGATTCAGGGACTCAGAAGGCAGATGGGTGCTGGAGCGATAGTACAGCGGGGAGGGCATTTGCTTTGCACGTGGCCAACCCAGGTTCGATCCCTGGCATCCCATATGGTCCCCCGAGCACCACCTGGAATGATTCCTGAGTGCAGAGCCAGGAGTAACCCCTGAGCACCGCTGCATGTGACCCAAATCCTCCTCCTCCCAAAAAGAAGGCAGATTGATTGTATTAGGGGAAGGGTGGGCAGGAGACAGACTGTTTGAGGGGTGAGTGCAGGACAGGAAGGGACATGTGCTAGGAAGTCCAATGGGCTGGAAACGGTGAAAGGTGAAGGGGCGTGCAGAGAGAACACACACACATGAACACACACACATGGTGAACAGGAAGGGGCATAGAAGAAGAACAAACACACAGACACACACACATAGACACATACACACACACACACGCACGCCACACAGCCTTGAGGGAATTGTCTTCAGCCCTCAGAATGAAGATCTAGGAACAGATCACAGTTCCTCCACCTCTGTGCCACACACGATGAGTGTATTTACCCATCTGTGATATGGGTACCATATCTGGACAGTGTTGGCCCTTTAACATTAACTAGGGGGCCCTGCCTCCCCGCCCAACTCCTGGGAGGCCTAAGATAGAAAGATGCTGCCCCCTCGTGGCAGAAACTGATTCTGCAGGGAAAATGACTTGGGGACCCCAGGTCTTCCCCAGAATTTGTTCAGTCCTAGGGCCTCGGCTATGGGCACATCAGGGGCTTGGATCCTGGACAAACTGGACAAACAAAAGGAGCTTAAGATACCACTGGTAATAAATTGGTTCTAAGACTTGAGATGTTTTCCAATTAAAATGGGTAATTAGGTTTTCAGTCAATCCACTTTATACTGGACAGTTTATCTCTGCAGATCTGCATTTATACTTATTGAACATTTTCTTTGTTTTTGTTTTCTGTTTGGGGCGTTTTTTGTTTGTTTTTCGGCCACACCTGGCAATGCTCAGGGGTTCCTCCTGCCTCTGCACTCAGAAATTACTCCTGGTGGTGCTTGGGGGACCATGTGGGATGCCAAGAATCGAACCTGAGGTCATTTGCATGCAAGGCAAGTGCTCTACCCACTGTACTATCTTTTCAGCCCCACTATTTTTTTCTATTTTATCATACCTGGCAGTGCTCGGGGGTGGGGGGGCTAGGGGTGTCACTTCCTACATTGTTTAGGGACTATCTAACCCAAGCTCAGTCTGTTATCTTTCTGGCCCTTAAAGAAAAACTTTTAATAATTGTACATTTTAAATTTGAAAGTTAATTTGCAGGGGCCAGAACAATAGTAGAGTGGATAGGGCATTTGCCTTGCACACGGCCAACCCAGGTTCGATCCCCAGCATCCCAGAGCTCAACCAGGAGTGACCCCTAAATACAGAACCAGAACTAAGCCCTCAGCACCTCTGGGTATGGCCCAAAGTCCAAACAATAAATAAATTTGCAGTTAAAAAAAAACAACTTAAATTGCATTATGTGTATAAATATATATATTTTTAATGTCAGTCATTTATTTGATGTGATCTAGTAATATTAATATCATGGGTCCTGTCCTGTCCTCCCGTTGTTCATCTATTTGCTCTGAGTGGGCCCAGTAACGTCTCCATCGTGAGACTTGTTACTGTGTTTGGCATATCAAATACATAATGGGGAGCTTGCCAGGCTTTGCCATGTGGGCGAGTTACTGGGCCCACTCGAGCAAATTGATGATCAACGGGAGGGCCTTTACTTTTACTTTACTTTATATAGTTCAGTAAAGGCAAAAATTTGTTATCACTGGTCATAAGAGGATACATTTTATTCTGAAACATGAAGCTAATGCACTTTTATGTCAAACTTGAATTTTCAAAGGCTGGAGCAATAGTACAGCGGGCTGGGCATTTGCCTCTCGCACAGATAATCTAGGTCTATCTCTGGTACCCCATATAGTCCCCTGAGCCCTGCCAGGAGTGATTCCAGAGGGATGAGCCAGGAGTAAGCCCTAAACAATCTGCAGGGTGGCCCAAAAAAACAACAACAGGAAAAAAAAAAACTTGAATTTTCACTGTTTTTTTTTCTTTCTTAGCCATTCTTCAAAACAATACGTTTTGAAATTCTAATTACTTCCCTTTATCAACCAAACGACAACAACAAAAAATAGGGCCAAAGGGTAGGGCTGGAGTGATATAGGGCGTTTGCTTTGCACACGGAAAATCCGGGATCAGCATCCCTTATGGTCTCCCAAGCACTGCCAGGAGTAATACTTAAGTGCAGAGCCAGGAGTAACCCCTGAGCATTGTTGGGTGTGACCCAAAAAGCACAAATAAATAAATAAATAAATAAATATGGCCAAAGAGCTTGAGCACATATTTTTTGGGAGTCTAGGATTCCAATCCTGGCACCACATACTCCCTGGAGCACTTCAAAGTGTAGTCTCAAAGCAAACATTACAAACTGGGGTCCGAGAGATAGCACAGCGGTAGGGCACTTGCCGTGCACTTTGGCCAGAGTTCAAACTCTGTCATCCCATATAGTCCCTCCTGAATGATTCCTGAGTGCAGAGCCAGGAATAATCTCTGAGCACCACTGGGTGTGGCCCTCACCACCAAAGGAAAAAAAAAAAAACAGTGGTGGGCTTGGGGAGAGATTCCGTACTTAGCATGTGCAAGGCCTCCGAGTTCAGTCTCAGCACCACACAGGCCCCGAAGCACAACAGGTGTGACTCTGGCGCCACCTAGCAGCGCTGAGTGGAATCTCACTAGGAGAGGCTCTGAGCAAGGATGTGTTGGGGGAGGGGTAGAGGCCTGAGGCGTGCAATATAAGGCCTCTATTAGGAAAATTCAGTTAAAGGACATGCCTTGCATGTGTGAGGCATCAAGTGTTTGGTTTGTTTTCTGATGTCTCTGAGTTCCTGAGTCTGAGTTCAGCCCCAGACCGTCTGAGCAGCGGTCAGCCCCCACTCCAAAATCACTATATATATATATATATATATATATGGGCTGGAGCGATAGCACAGCGGGGGTAAGGCGGTTGCCTTGCATGCAGCCAACATGGCCGACCCAAGTTCGATTCCTCCGCCCCTCTCGGAGAGCCCGGCAAACTACCGAGAGTATCTCGCCCGCACGGCAAAGCCCAGCAAGCTACCCGTGATGTATTGGATAGGCCAAACACAGTAACAACAAAGTCTCATGATGGAGACGTTACTGGGCCCGCTCGAGAAAATTGATGAACAACGGGAGGACAGTGACAGCGACGATATATATATATACACACACAAACACATATATATAATATACACACATATATGTCTTATAACGTATATATATAACATATATACTAGCTGTATTAATATATATAATGCATGCACTCAGATGCTTTCCCTTACCCGAAGAAGTGCATTATGGTAAGTGCACACAATAATTCTTTCCCTATAAAAGGGAATGAACTATTAATAATACAGAACACCCAGTGATGCCCAGGGATTATTCCTGACTCTGCAGGTGGAGCTCAGGGGACTGTATGTGGTGCCCGTTTGGCTACCACGTGCAAAGCAAGTGCTCCACCCACTCTGCTCTCCCAGGCCCCATTCTTGTCTTTATGAAGTCTGCATCTTTATAAACATTCCCTCTTAGTACTATTTTGTCTGCATCCCAAGGGTTCTAAAGTGCACTTTCGGGGCTGGAGCAATAGCACAGCGGGTAGGGTGTTTGCCTCGCATGTGGCCAACCTGGGTTCGATTCCCAGCATCCCATATGGTCCCCTGAGCACCGCCAGGGGCAATCCCTGAGTGCAGAGCCAGGAGTAACCCCTGTGCATCGCCCGGTGTGACCCAAAAAGCAAAAAAATAAAATAAAATAAAGTGCACTTTCATTTTCCCTTTTTTTCCAGGAACTTAATACATCTAATCCTGTAAAAAGGGAGGCTAAGTGGGGTATAACTTAAAATGAGGATGTGAGGACAGTCAATCATATTATATCCAACTTCACATCAACTTTGACTGTAATTGAGTTCGTCATATTTATTTTTTGGTTTTGGGCACCGTGACAATGTTCGAGGGTTACTTCTGACTCAGTGCTCAGGAAATTACTCCTGGTGGGTGCTGGGGGACCATATGGGATCCTGGGGATTGAACCCAGGTTGGCCCAAGGCAACTGTCCTACCCACTGTACTATCTCTCTGGCCCCTCAACTTCCTCATATTTGAGCCAGAGTGATACGGCTCCTCAGGTTGTTAAAAGCCCTAAATAAAACAGGTGGATAGTAGTTTTACAGCCTGCAGCTGCACCCTAAGGTATGAGGTAGCAAGTCCTGTGGCTCAACTGAAACAGGAATCAGGGAAAAGTTTAAGACATGGTCTTGGAGGAGTTAAATCACCAAAAACACCTGTAAAGTGCATGTCAAAGCAACGTATCTCTTAAGTTTTCTCCCATGTTATAGTTTCAGGTTGTATATTCAGGTACTTAATTCAGTTGGAGTAATTGTTATGTGCAGGGTGAGATAGTTTTAATTGTGCAGTTTTCCAGTTTTCTCAGCACCATTATTGAGGTGCTCCTTTCCCTACTGTATATTGTTATAAATTAATTCACAATGTATGTGGGGGGTTATTTCTGAGTGTGTAAAAGTCTAGTCCACTGGTCTGTGCATTTATTCCAAGACTCAAACCATTTCATTGCCATAACCTTGTGGACTGAAGTTGGGGAAGATGTTACCTACGTTTTCCCTAGGATTGTTTTAGTTAGTGGAGGTCTTTTGTAGTTCTATACAAATTTAAGAAAAAATGTCATTGAACTTGGGTTTAGGCTGCAAGGAATAAGTCAGAGATATTGTTTGGCTTACATAAAAAAAAACCAATGCAGGGGCTGGAGCTTGCCTTGTGTGCAGCTGACCCAGGTTTGATCCCATATGATCCCCCGAGCACCGCAAAGTTTAATTCCTGAGTGCAGAGCCGATAGTTATTCCTGTGTATTGGCAGATGTGGCCCCCAAACAAACAAACAAAAATCAAAGCAAGTGATCCAAATGACCAATCAAAATAAACACGGTCCTTAGATTCTCACAGCAAAATGGTGGTTTCCAGAGAGGAAGGGGATTGGGGGTATGAGGAACAGGTAAGTGGTCTATTGATAAGAATGGTGACAGTGGGTGTGGATATTTTATATTGAAGAGGTGTGAGGTTGAATTCCTAGAATTCAAAGTGCACTGGAAACCAGTGTGGAGAGAGGGAGTGAGGTACAGGAGGAGAGGAGGGAAGGGGAGAGAAAGGGGGCAGAAGAAGAGGGAGAAAGAAAAGGAAAAGAGAAAAAGGAGAACCAATAAGTCCTGTTCTTTTGGCCCACACCTAGCAGTGCTGAGAGCTGAATCCTGGCTCTGAACTCAGGGATCACTCCTGGACAGGCCAGGGAGACTATATGGAGTGCTGGGGATCAAACCCAGGTTGGCCGTGGACAAGACAAGCACCTTCCTCCCTGTGCTCTCTCTAGCCCCACTGAGGTCCTGTTTGAGAGGAATCACAAGGTACTGGATAAGGATCAGAATATTCCAGTTAAAGTCCATATTGGCAAACAATATGGACATTACTCAAAAACTTAGAAATTGAGCTCCCATTTGACCCAGCAATACCACTTCTGGGAATATACCCTGGAGGCCCAAAAACACACAGCAGAAACACCATCTGCACCCCTATGTTCATTGTAGCACTGTTAACAATAGCCAGAATCTGGAAACAGCCTGAAAGCCTGAGAACAGATGAATGCTAAAGAAACTATGACTCCTATATATAATGGAATAGTACTTAGATGTTAGGAAAAATGAAGTCATGAAATTTGCCTATAAATGGATGGACTTAGAAAGTATCATGCTGAAATGAGTCAGAAAGAAAGGGACAGATATAGAATGACTGCATTCACTTATGGTATATAATAATTTATATATATATATACATATATATCTATTAGACATATCCATGGCCAGGTAAAACACGGGTTAGAGGGACTGGTCAATGGTTGGAATCAACCACAAGTGTGTGTGGGGCTGAGAGTAGGGTAAGATAGAGATGGGACCAGGATAACAATCACTGTCACTGTCACTCCCGTTGTTCATCGATTTGCTCAAGAGGGCCCAGTTACATTGTGAGACTTGCTACTGTGTTTGGCATATCAAATACGTCAGGGTAGCTTGCCAGGCTTTGCCATGAAGGCGAGATATTCTCGGTAGCTTGCCAAGCTCTCCTAGAGGGGTGGAGGAATTGAACTTGGGTCGGCCAGGTTGGCTGTGTGCAAGGCAAGCGCCCTACCTGCTGTGCTATCGCTCCAGCCCAGGATAACGATAATAGCTGGAAACGATCATGCTGGACAAAGTATTGAGTGTTAAAAATAAGTAAAGGGATATTCCTGATACTTTTCAGCATCAATATTGCAAACCACAATGCCCATAATAAGAGAGAAGAGAGGGGGAGAGAGAGAGAGAGAGAGAGAGAGAGAGAGAGAGAGAGAGAGAGAGAGAGAGAGAGAGAGAGAGAGAAAGGTGAGAGGGAGAGAGGCAGACTAGAGTTGGAGATGATGGGAGGGGACATGGGTACTGGAAAAATGTACACTGGTGGAGGGATGCGTGTTGGAGCACTGTATGACTGAAACCTAATCATGAACAGTTTTGTAAAGATCTACCTTACAGTGATTCAATAATAAAACACAAAAACCCAGAATATTGCAGTTAAGATTTCCTTCCCTGTTTTATGTGGAGATGTGGAAGGTTGTTGGGCCCTATTGCAGAACCTTCCCCTAGGGTCACCCCGCAGGTCATCTGTGAGTGGTAAAAGGGGTAACATTTTCCCACAAGAGATTGCTAGTGGCCACTTGTCCAGGGGATTGGGTACAGTGACAATTAAGGTATTCCTGGTGGGAAGGAGCATGGCTGTAACTGAAGACTTCTCCAGATCTGCCTGCATCCAGCTGGACCTGTAGAGCTCATTTCCATTTTATAAAAACTTAAAAAAAAAACAAACCAAACTCATACAAAATAAAAGCAGATAGGGAGTTGAGGATTTCGTATAATTACCCTATTGTTTGGCACAGAGAAGATGGTTCAAGTTTGATGATAGAACCAAAGGCAGCTCACTTGGCTGGACTGTTTGCATGTAGACATGCAGGAGGCTGGGGTTTGATCCCCAGTACTACCAGGAGTGACCCCTGAGCACTGGTGGGTATAACCCAGTCCCATCCATTCCTTCATAAAATTTGAAAACAAAAATTTTTGAAACAGGGGCCGGAGAAGGTAGGGCACTTGCCTTATATTCAGCCAACGTGGGTTCAATCCTCAGCATCTCATATGGTCCCATGAGCACCGCCAGGAATAATTTTTGAGTGCAGAGTCAGGAATAACCTCTGAGCATTGCCGGGTCCAACAATCACCCCCCTCCCCACAATGTTTACAAAGAAAACAAAAGTAGGGCAAGAGATAGTATAGCAAACAGGGCACTTGCCTTGCACATAGCAAATCCCTGGCAACCCATATGGTCCCAAGTCCCACCTGGAGTGACCCCGTAAGCACAGAGTTATGAGTACATGAGTAAGCCCTGAGCATTGCCAAGTGTGGTCCAAAACAAAAAACCCCAAACAAAACAAAAACCTCAAATCATCATATAACAAGGCTCAATCTTTAACAACATGTTAGTAATCTCTTACATAAGGGCTAAATGACTCCAGGGTGAGATATAACAATCTTCACACATTTTCCTCTAAGGAAACATTTTGGATCATTTTTACTGGATCCAGCCCTGGAGCGATAGCACAGCGGGTAGGGCGTTCGCCTTACAAGCGGCCAACATGGCCGACCCGAGTTTGATTCCTCCGCCCCTCTCGGAGAGCCCGGCAAGCTACCGAGAGTATTCGATATGCCAGACACAGTAACAACAAAGTCTCCAATGGAGACGTTACTGGGCCCGCTCGAGCAAATCGACGATCAACGGGAGGGCCTTTACCTTTACCTTACCTTTACTGGATCATTCATAATAAGCAATACAAAATAAATTATTTAGGCCCTGCTTTGGGGGTAGGTTTTGGGGATCGGGGTGGAAAAATTCTAAAGATGGCATTGGGAAGGTGTAACCGTAGTGGGATTGGTGTTGGAGTATTGACTATAATAAATTATCGTGAACAACTTTATAAAAATAAAATTAGGCAGATATGCTGCCCCAGCCCATGTGCTGCTTGTGCCCAGGTGGCCAAGAACATGTGGTACCTAAGCACATGTGTCACCCACATCTCTCCTCGAGATATGTACTTTCATGCTTTCGTGTCTAATGCTGGGGTGTGTGTAGGGACTCTCTCCGCTCTTGGAGAAGCCAGAGTTCTCTCTTGAGCATGATACTCTCCACTTCCCCACTCTCTCTCCCTCCTTCCCTTCAAAACCTCCAAATAAAAACTGTAAAAAAAAAAACAACCATGAGGCCCTTCTTCCTGTCAAGGACAGACTTCACCCTCCTTTTCTTTTTTTTGCTTTTCGGGTCACACCCAGCCGATGCTCAGGGGTACTTCTGGCTCTGCACTCAGGAATCACTCCTGGCGGTGCTTGGGGGACCATTTGGGATGCTGGGAAATGAACCCAGGTCGGCTGCGTGCAAGGCAAATGCCCTACCTGCTGTGCTATTTCTCCAGCCCCTCACCCTCCTTCTTGCCCTGTTACACAGACACGGTCTTTCAGGGGTTTTCAGTATTTATTAGTTAAGTCATGATCGAGGATCCCAGGGCGGGAATCCCCAGGTGCCCTGGTCCCTCTTCAGCATCCTGGGAAAAGGACAGAGAACAGAAGGGGTGGAGCCGGTTCAGATCTTTCCAGGAAACGTGCCTTCTGCCCGACGGTCATCCCAAGTCGACACCTGTGGGGACAGGATCAGTGTTACTTCCTTCCACTGGGTGGCGACCCCTGGGGGCCTCTGGCCCTTCTTCTCTACCCACTTGTCCAGCTGTGCAGTCAACAAGTAACCCCAAGTCTGCTGTGTGCCAGTCTCGGCACTGTTCCAGCCAGCAGTGACCCAAAAAACGACAGAAGCACTGTCCCCATTCAACCCCCAGCACTGCATGCTTTCGAAGCGCACCCCCGCCTCCCCCCCCCAAAAAAAAAAACCCAACTGAGTGATGAGTGAGCTGAACCACTGCTGGGGAGGGAAGAGTAAGAGAGATGGAGTTTTGGGAGTGTGGCGGTGCCCTGCTCAGGAGCAGATTCTACAGCTCAGGAGCAGTCTTTGCCAGAAGAAAGGACAAGGACAGGAAGCAGCTGAAAGACAAGGCTGAGCCTGGCCCTGGCACAAAGGGGTCTCTGAGGCAGAGCCGAGCACCAAGAGGGGCCCCACAAGAACCACAGCTGAAAGTGAGTGCTGCAGCGAATGGCTGCCACCCCCAGCCAGCAACTGTGACAAAGGGAAGGAGGAGGAGAAGGTACCAAGAGAGGAAGGTGCAAAAACCCTTTGTTTAGGGGTCACACCTGGTGGTGCTCGGGGCTGACTCCTGGCTCCGTGCTCAGGGAACCATATGAGATGCTGGGGATCAAATTGGGATCGGTCGTGTACAAGGCAAGCACCCTACCTGCTGCACTATTGCTCCAGCCAGGAAGGTGCCAAAATTCTTTTTCTTCTCCCTCTTTTTGGGTCACACTCAGCGATGGTCAGGGGTTACTCCTGGCTCTGCACTCAGGAATCACTCCTGGTGGTGCTTAGAGGACCAAATGGGATGCCAGGGATTGAACCCAGGTTGGGTGATGAAAGCAAAACGCCCTACCCACTGTACTATCACACTGGCCCAAGGTGCCAAAATTCTAGTGACAATTACACACGTCTGCCAACAGACACCAAACTCTTCACTCTCCCTGCTCCCATGGACCTTCCTGTCAGGCACCTACAAGCATGTTCACTTTCCCCTCCTCAGACACACTCACTTGTCAAGGACAAGAAAGATGAAACTGAGCTGCCACCCAACCATGCATGCCCGAGTCGTGTGAACCAGGGGAACGCCACCGCCATTCAGGGCCACTGCTTCCCAGGTCCTAAAAGGTGCATTTTGCGGGCCAGACTGATAATACAGTGGGTTAGGGCGTTGGCTTTGAAACTGGCTAATCCAGGTTTGATCTCCAGCAACCCATATGGTCACCAGAGCACTGCCAGGAGTAATTAATTAACCCTTGAGCATCACCGAGTGTCACCTAAAAAGCCAAAAAATAAGGGTAAAAGTAAGCATCGTGCAACTTGCTGTTGGTAGACCTTACCCTCACTTGGTCTCTTGCGTGGCCCTTTAGATCATACAAATGTTTTCAGCATGGCCGGTTGAGTCAGCACCAACTATGTGCTACTGCATTCACATACACACCACACTCTGCTTAAGATGGGTCAGACTAGGAGGCTGCCTGGGGTGTTGTGTGTTTCCAAGTTTTAGAGCTCTTTCTGTATTGTCCTGTAGATAAATGCTCCAACTCTGATCTAACTTGGGTTGTTCTGAATGTTCCCTGTTACAAACAGCTCCACAGTGGTCTCATCATACAGGACACTTGCCAAGATGACTAAATGAGAAGCGCCCCATTTCCAGTAAGACATGGAGAGATTACTGGGGGGGAGGGGGCGCAACTCCCAAGGGATGCTCGGGAGGTCCAGGGGCTCCACTGGTGACTCTCAGCCAAATGGACCATAGCTTCAGCACAAAGGCCTGCGAGTGTGATAGTGCTCGAGTCTGCAGTTCTCAGGGGACCATGTGATGCTGAGTCTGTGGGTGACATGTCCCAAGCACAATACCATCTTCTGGCACCTAAAGATATCAACCTGGCTTCAAAAGTGATCGGGTCGGTTTACAGAATCACCAACAGTCAAGTGCTCTCGACCTGTACGATTCTCGGGCTGAACTACAAATTAAAATCAACCCTTGCTCTCTTGTTTTAAGCTGGAGAGGGGGCACCTTTTCACATTAGGGGTTCATCTGGATTCCCTCAGACTGATCTTCCACTGTCTATGATTCAGTTTTCTGTGTTCAATAATTTCTGTCACTGGGCTTAAAAAATAAAGTCATCATACTTTTTTTAAAATGACATTAAAAAAAAAACATGGGGATAAGGGGCATGACAGCTGGCCTGACTGGCAAACTGCCCCTTTGCCCCATCATTGCACTTCATGGAAAAGAAAGCCAGAGAAATGGTTCTATAAGGAAAAACATTTACTGGGCCCAGGGAAAGAAACATAGTACAGTGGTTAGGGCGTTTGCTTTATACACAGCCAACCCGGGTTCAATCTCTGGCATCCTATTATGGTCCCTCTAGCACACCAGGAGTGATCCTTGTGTACGGAGCCAGGAAGAAGCCCTGAGCACAGCTGGGGGTGGACCAAGAAACAAAAAGTACTAAGCTGGAGCAATAATACAGTGGATAGGGCACACAGTGGACCAGGGTTCGATTTCCAGTGTCATTTCCCCCCCTACCGGACTACTAGCCCACCAGGAGTGAACTCTGAGCACAGAGCCAGGAATAAGCCCTGAGCACTGTTGGGTGTGGGCAAAGGGAGAAAGCATTTACTGCAATAAAACTGTTCACCAAAGAAACACTTAAAATAGTGAAATAGCCAGAGGGCAGCTCAGTGAGCTGAGCATAGGCCTGGGCTCCATCCCGAGTACCACACAGTCACCCAAACGCCAAGCTGGGTGCAGCCCCCTCACAAACAAAGAGCCCATGCTGCTAGGCATAAAGGGGCCTGGGCGTGGTGACTTACACCCAGTAGACACAGCTGGCCCCACGGGAGTGGCCCTACAATTTGCTGCTGCCCAATCAGGGAGAGCCCAGTGCTGGATACGAGGCACGGAGCAGCACTGAGACCTGTAGGTGTCCGGGCACCCCGAGGCTGGAGCAGGAATGTGACAGGACCCCCACCCCTTGTTACCCAAGAAGTCCTAGGGTGTGGAGAATCAGACCTATGACAGGCCGTTGGAGAGGAGAGAAACGTCAAGTCACTGAGAAAGAGCACTGTCTTCAAGAAACACGCCCAAAGATAACACACTGAGGATGTTCAAGACATTCCACAATTAGCTGGAGAGACTGTACAACGAGGTGCTTGCAGCTGGCCCTGGTTCAATCCCCAGCACCAAATAGAGCAAGTGCCATGAGTGATCTCAGAGTACAGAGCAAGGAGTGGCCCAAGATCCCAGTAATGAAAGGAAAACCAGAACCTAGTCTCCATCAAAAGGAAACCATCTTTAAGTCAAGATAATAAGGGGCCAGAGAGATAGTACTGCGGGTTGGGTGCTAGTCTTGCATGTAGCTGACCCAGGTTCCATCCCTGGCATCCCATATGATCCCCCAAGAACCGCCAGGAGTAATTCCTGAGTGCAGAGCCAGGAGGAACAAAAAACAACAACAAAACACGCCTCCAAGAAGTGGGGCTGGAGAGACAGTATGGCAAGAAGGGCACTTGCCTTGCATGCAGCAGACCCAGGTTTAATCCCTAGCATCCCATAACTTCTGCCAAGCTCTAACAGGAGTGCAAAGCCTGAAGTACACCCTGAGCACTTCTGGTATAGGCCCAAAACAAAAACTGACAAAAACCTCCAAGAACTGGCATTATTTGGGGGCACCAGAACCAGGTTTCTTGCAGTTAGTATGATATTTGACATGTTATCAAAAAGACTGCAATGCCAGGAGCAACCCACCCCCACCTCCCAAAATAGTGACAGTGGGAGGAAGGAGACACCCTAGGAAGGAATCAGTGGAAAGAAGGGAGATATCCTAGGAAGGAATCAGAAGGAAGGAGACACCCTAGGAAGGAAAGGCCGAGACACTGCCTGTCCTTCTGCCTCTCACAGATGAGCTCCCACGAAGTCACCATCATCCCCCCAAGAAGACTCAACCTCTACACCCTGAGGGTACCAGTAGGAGATACATACCCAGGACAAGGGGCAGATGGACTTGTACACCCGCCGGTACCATTCGCACACAGAGACATCACCCCCTTTGGCACTCATCGCCTTCTCGCAGCGGTGGAAGTCTGTGAAGAAAAGGGGTTCTGGTCAGCCCCCACCTAGGGCTTGAACACAGCTGACAAAAGCTCGTGGGCATAAAGTTCACTGCACAACCACAACCACAGACACAATGTTCATTGCACAAACACTCTCCACGTCACACACAAAGAATCTTCACGAAGACCTGACGAAGTTGACACACAAACTCAACTGAAGGTGCAAACACTAGACAGCTTCAATCAACTCAAATATTCTAGGCTCAGAAATCATGGGACCAACACAAGGACCAGGTGTGAGAATTATGAAATCCCAGAGCCAGGGCACCAGAGGAGAGGAAGTCTTTTTGCTAAGATGTTAGTGTTTAGACCAGAATAATCTGGTTATAATTTGAAATTAATTTTTGTCTGCCTCTCATACATTATTTCTTTATAAACTACAGTGTAAATTATAACATATTATCCATTTTCATGTTAATTTTTTAATTTCTGCAGAATTATTGAGATGCACATGGCTTATAGCATTGCATAAATTTAAGGTGTACAGCACTGTGATCTAATTTATACTGCGAAATATCTGCCTTACGTTTAGTTATACCCACCATCTCTTATGGTTTTACTTAGAAAAATCTCTTCTGGAGGCTGAAGAGAGCAGGCAGGTGCTGGCCCTGCACATGGTTGACCCAGGTTCAATCCCCAGCACCCCTATATGATGTACTGAGTCCACCAGGTGTGACCCCTGAGCTTAGAGTCCCAAGGAAGCCCTGAGCACTGCCGCGGTGACTCAAAGGACAGTTTTTGGTTGTTTTTGGGTCACACCATTCCAGAGCTCGTGCGGTGCTGGAGATTGAACCAAGATTGGCTCTGTGCAAGTAAAGCGTGGCTTAACCCCAGTACTATCTTTTGGGTCCTACGAAAATGATTTTATTTCCCCATTTTTAGAATCTTAAGCATACTTTCAGAATCTACAATTCTAGTAACTTTCATATACACCACACAGCAGTTGACAAAAGTCACCGTGTTGTGTGTCTAGCAATAGTACTGCAGAGAGGGCACTTGCCCTGCACACATCCAAACTAGGGTCAATCCCCAGCTCCACATATGGTCCCCTAAGCCACCAGGAGTGATCTCTGAGAGCAGAGCCAAAATAAGCACTGAACACCACTGGGTGTGACCCCCAAACCAGAAAATAAAAATAAAGAAACAAAGCCATCATGCCATAGAGGCTGGCACAATAGTATTATGGGTAGGGTGTTTGCCATGCATGTGGCCAACTCAGGTTTAATTTCTGACACCCTATATGGAACCCTGAACACTGCCAGGAATGACCTGAGTACAGAGCCAGGGGTATGCTTTGAGTACAGGTAGGTGTGGCCCAAAATACAAAAAATAAAGTCATCACGCTATAATGACATTCCCAATACTAATCTTATCATTGGAAGTTTGCACGTTTTGGCCACATTCATTTGATCTCCATCTCATAATCTGTTGTTTAAAATGTAGACAAATTAATTAAAAATTAAAAATGAAAAAAGACTCCAGGGGCCAGAGATAAAATATAACAGGCTGAAGAGCAAGCAGAAGGCCCAGGTTCAATCCCAGCACTGGTCTTTTGAGTCGGGCCAAGAATGATCCAGCACCATTAAGTGTGGACAGCCCCCTTTCTTCTGCTAATTTACTCCTGGAAAATAGTCCTAGACCAAAAAAAAAAAAAAAAAAAAAAAAAAAAAAAAAAAACACAAAAAACATTCACCTGGATGCTCAAGTTACATCTGAAAGAACGCAAACTGGAAACCATGCAAGTCCCCAAGAAAAAACTGAGGGAAACTCTAGGGCAATGAAAATGAGCACACCATAGGAGAGAGAAATCCTAAGGATAACAAACCCCACAAAAAGGAAGGGAGATGTCCTAATCCTAGGAAGGAATCAGTGGAAGGAAGGAGACACTCTAGGAAGGAAAAGGTGTCCTGACAGCATTTGTCAAGTTCACAAAGAGGCAAAATTAAACTTAAGGTAGGTATTAGCCTACCAAGAGTGTGGGCACTAGCCCCCTTTTCAATGTACCACCACGGGGGCTCATCTGAGAGCTATTCACTCTAAATTAACTTGTTTTTGGTTCTGTTTGTGGGTGTCACCCCGCAGTGCTCCGGGTTTCTTCCTGGCTGTGCTCAGGGATCTTTCCTGGAGGTGTAGAGACCATACGTGGTGCTGGGGATCTAACCTCGTGGGCTACATGCAAGGCAAGCACCTTCTTTACCCTATCTCTCTGGCCCTATTCACTTTAAAATAAGTAAATTATTTAAATTATGTATACTATTGTATAAAGGTTATAAAATTGTTTTATGTATTTCCTATAGATATGCTCATCTCTCACACACCAAATAAATCTTTGATTAAAACAAAATAAAGAGAGCATTGAAGTGACTCAGGTTGGGCCCCTGGGCCAGATCTTGAACACAACTGGTGATGAGGGGCATGGGCCTTGTTGAGGCAGGACGTCCAGAGTAGGAGAGACAAGCATGGGTCCCCACAAAAGAGGAGAGAAGGATCCAACCTGAGGGGTGGATCCAACCACAGTCCTCACCACTCCAACTGTGCCGGCTTACCCAGATAGTTCTGCCAGCAGTTCCGGGTTTGGTTCTGGTTGGGGAAGCGGCTATCAAAAGGGGCAGTCTGATAGTTCTTGATTTTCCTCTTGATATCTTCTGCCATGATGCAGACTCCTGGAGGCAAAGAGTAGATGTTGGCTGGGGTTCACCACAGAAAACGAACTGTCAACCCAGTTACGGCCAGTGGAGGCTCAGAGGCAGAATAAAGGGCTGGTTCAACAAGCTGCCGCCACCACAAACACACACACATACACACACACACACACACACACACACACACACACACACACACCATGCATCTAGGTTGGGAAGCACAGGTAAGTTTTGGGGGGTAATTCCTTATACGTCAGGCTTTCTGTGTCACCAAATCATACTAGCTAACATTCTCCTGTGTTTCTGACATGCCAGGCACTGTTTTTCACGCTTTATCCCTACTGGCACTCTTGATGGATGAAACCATTACTAAGGACAGCGTCAAAGTGTCTCCCCAAGGTCACACTGCATATAAGTGGAGAGCTACTGAGATCACTGACATATCCTTGCTGCAGAGATTCTTAATGCTTCGGGTGCCAAAAAGCCCTCAGAGGTCAGATGAGCCCTTTCCTTTTACACAAATTTAAAAAACTGCACAGAAGCACAAAAAAGACTAGTTACACGGAGCTGAGTGTTTGATTTTAGTTTTGGGGCCACCTGTGCTCATGGCATATTCCCGAATGCTCAGGGATCACTCCTGACAAGGCTGTATTCTAGGCAAGCAATGGAATCCCTGTCCTATCTTTCTGGCCCTGTTGTTCAGAAGTTTTCATTTACAGATTTTAGCAGACATGAGTACAAACACTCTTTTGTGACACCTGCAATCGTAACGCAGGATACGACATTTATTTGCTGACAAAGTCACAAATGCTGCCAATGCGACCGAGGATGCTGCACTGTTTCCTAAAGACAGAAATGTTAAGACTTCAAAGGGAATTTAGCAAAATTATAGATGTAACCACTCCTGGCTACCACAACCACCCGAATCAAGTTGAATTCTGCAGATTCTGTGGCCTCATCATGTTTCTCTTGGGGTGAGTTTTCTTTGGGGAAATAAAAGAAACCGCCTATCCCAAGGGAACTCCACGAGTCGTGGGGGGTTACACAGAGGTGTACAGTTCAAGTGGCCATAGCAGTGGGGTGAATTGGAGGCACTACAGCTGTCTTTCGGGGCTCCCCGGGGTCACAGGTGGGAGACACGCAGAACACCGGCCACTGAGACGCAGGAGCCGTTGGAGAGGCAATTGTGGGTGAGACGTCGCCCGGATCTCCTGGACTTAGAGGGTAGGGAGGGTTGCCCGGGGTGGTTGAAGCTTCTCCAACGCCGGGGGAGAGAGGGCCTCAGTCAATGGGGAGCCGGGCTGGGGCCCAGGCAAGCCGCGGTTCGGTGGGTGACAGCGCTGCAGGCCAAACGACCGAGTCCAAATCCCGTTGCTGTGCGGCCTCGGCCAAGTCGCTTAACAACGCTGAGCCTCAATTGACTCGCCGTCGATAAGGACTAATCAAAGGCCCTATCTCAAAAGGGCTGCAACAAGGATTAAATGCTTCTATAGCCCCCATCCCCCCCCACACGCAGCTTGCTAGGCAGGATTAATGAGGAGCGAGATAATCGCTATCACTGCTATCTCCGCGACAGCACCCCAGGGCCCCCCGGAGGCCCGCCGTTGGCGGCCGGAAACCTCACCTCATTCAGGGCATCAGGGTTCAGACTCTCGGCCCCGCAGCTGCGTGCTGGGGTCGCGAGCCCTGAAGACTCACCTAAAGACGGCCTCGAAGCACCTCGCAGTTCAATGTGACCCTCAGCAAAGACGCCACGATAGAACCGGAAGCGGAAGGACCGGCCGGAAACCGGGTGAGGTGGGTCATAGAGGAGTCTTCCCCGCGGCTAGAGCGTCCTCGGGAGGCGGGTCCCAGCCGCATTTGGGCTACGCCCACTGGAGCAAGCTCCGAATGCCTATTGGGCTGAATGCCGGTTCATCATTACAGCCGGCCCAACGGTGAGCTTGTGTGGCAAAACGAAAAGCTGCTGCCTGAATCTGCAGAAACATAGTTTCAGCTACTCGTTTACCTCCCTGGGGTCCAGGAGTAGATGGGAAACGGGTAGGAGAAAAGTATCCCAGCGGAAGAATTCTTATACATGCAAAATTGTCCATTCAATACTACCTATATAAAGTTTGGCGATATATCCCTTAACTGTAGCACTGTAGCACTGTCCTCCTGTTTTGTTCATCGATGTGCTCGAGCTGGCACCAGTAACGTCTCCATTGTGAGACTTATTACTGTTTTTGGCATATTGAATACGCCACGGGGAGCTTGCCAGGCTCTGCCGTGCGGGGAGGATACTCTCGGTAGCTTGCTGGCTCTCGGAGAGGGATGGAAGAATCGAACCGCGTGCAAGGCAAACGCCCTACCCGCTGTGCTATTGCTCCAGCCCCATATCCCTTCACAAAATACAAAATCCTCCGGCCGAGAGGTAGTACAGGGGTTAAGGAGTGTGCTGCCAACCAGGATTGGACTACAAAGTAAGCCCTTGAGCATGGCCGGGTGTGACCCCAAAACCAAGAAAAACAAAACAAGGGCTGGAGAGATAGTACAGGCGACCCTGGTTCGGGTTCGATCTCCAGCGTCCCTTTTAGTCCCCGGAGCACTGCCAGGTGTGATTCCTGAGCGCGTAGCCAAGAGGAACCTCTGAGCACCTCAAGTATGGCCTAAAAAACAAACAAACACATGCTGGATATGTAAAATAGCACTAAAATGCCCTCATGCAAGTCTTTCCCTTCTTAACTTTTCTCCATGATCTGGCCCTTGTCTTCTCACACATCAGATCCTAAATTCTTTCTGATCATAAAGAAGCACTTTTTGATCCAGTATGTAAAACAATGCAGGCACATAGGAAGTGCTTGTTCTTTCCTTGTTTCCCCCCTTTCCCTACCCCTCTTTGTTGTTGAGATGACTGGTTGCTCTGCTTGTGACTTAGCTGTGGTGCTTGCCAGCCATACTCACTTCCGTCGCAAAACTCAAACACCCTTGGCTGTGGTACATTCCAGATGGCACCCTCCGTTGTGGCACCAGAGCTGGCACTCTGCTTGGGCAGTGCAGCGGATGGAAACACAGCCTCATTCACAAAACTATCTCAGGCCCCTCCAGCCGTATTTGTTTGATATTCACACTTCATACGTCATATTCACACTTCCTGTATTAATAAAGGGGGGCTTCTAGGGCATGCAAGAAGGAGCTGTGAGTGATAACTGCTTTCATCCCTCCCAGTCTGACGTTTTATTTTTATGGGAATATTTTTTGGGGGGGACACTCAGCAGTGGTTAATGGCCAATCCCTCCAATTCTGCCATCGGGATAAAGTTCAGGCTCCGTTCTAAGTCTCAGAGAATGAATCCATGGCGTCCTCTAGTAACAGTGATATATATATATGTATATATATATACATATGTATATATATATATATATATATTTGGTTTTGGGGTCACACCTGGTGATGCACAGGGGCTACTCCTGTCTTTGCACTCAGGAGTTACTCCTGGGAGTGCTCAGGGGACCATATGGGATGCTGGGAATCGAAACTGGGCTGGCTGTGTGCAAGGCAAACCCCCTACCCACTGTGTTAACACTCCAGCCCCCAACAGTGCCATTTTAGCACATGAAACTGTGCGTCCAGATGTTCTACCTCCAGGCCTTTGTTTATGCTGTTTCTATTGTTTAGGGAGTTCTTTGTGCACCAGACTACTCAAATCCTCTGGTGACTCGGGCAAGAAGCCTTCCTTGATACTACACTCCTGTCCCTGCCTCAAGCTAGGTCAGTTTCCTCCTTTTAACCCCCTCAAGCCCCTGGAGTTTTCCTATTCCAACCCTTTGAGCTGGACTAGACTGGTAATGGGTTTCCAACCCTTTGGGCTGGCTTAGACAGTGATGGGTGTGTCTCCCAGATGGACAGTAAATTCCCTAATGGAAGGGTCCATCAGAAGATTCCCTTTGGAAATTGAGCACTCTTTTTTTTTTTTTTTTGGCTTTTTGGGTCACATTAGGCGGTGTTCAGTGGTTACTCCTGGCTCTGGACTCAGGAATTACTCTGGCTGTGCTTGGGGAACCATCTGGGATTCTGGGGATCAAACCAGAGCTGGCTGTGTTCAAGGCAAATGCCCTCCCAGCTGTACTATGGCTCCACGAAAGAATTCTATTAATAGTTTTGGGGCAAATCCCAGCTGTGCACAGGATTTTCTCCTGGCTCTCTTCTCAGGGAACACTTCTGGCAGGCCTCAGGAGACCGTATGTGGTTAGAGGGTGGAGACCAGGTCGGTCACGTGCATGCAAGGCAAAGGCCTTACCTACTATAGCCCAGGTCCTGAGACTTCTCTTAAAGGGAGCACAGAAGGCAGTCCAGCCAAGTTAGTGACTGGGTCTGACTCCTTGCCAAGGGGCAGGCAAAGCTGGCTCTGGAGGTCTGAGTCCAATTCCTTTGCAGGTCCCACCACACAGTGAATACACAGTAGCCCCCCTAAGGACGTCTGACAGTCACCCAGTCCTGGAGGCGGTGAGCAGGGAAATCTGCACCTGGGCAGGTGTGCGCTGGAGCATCCCTAGGGCTCTAATCGCTCTCGGGCGGGAAGGAGGCAGACTGCAGGCGCTACGAGGTTGGACGCGATATTTTTATTGGGTCGATGCTCCCTGCCCGCCCGCGGCGCTGTCGGGATAGGCTAGACCCGGGACGCGGCCCCCAAATCGGTAAGTGTACTTTCGGCCCCCGCTCTTGAGCACGATGTCGCGGCGGTAGTAGTAGCGCAGGCCTCGGCTCAGCTTTTCGTAGTTCATGCCCGGCTTCCTCTTGCGCTCGCCCCACAGCCGCGCCACCTAGGGCGGAGGGAGGGCTCAGACACCGAGGCCGGGCGGGCCGGGCTCCCGGGCTCGGGTAAAGTCTAGAGCCGGGTTCGTCCTAGTAAACCTAGTAAACCCAAATGAGGACTAGGTGGCGGGGCGAGGGGGGCGGGGAAACGGGGAGGCGGGGATGGGGGCGGGGCATCAAGGACGAGGCCAAAGGCACCGCGGGGCGAGGTTGAAGGCGAGAACACCGGGGCCGGGCTTAGCAAGTCTGGGGAGCAGCCGCACCTCTTTGGGGTCGCAGAGCTGGAATTCGCGGCTGTTACCCGTCCAGCGGATGCAGCTGCGGCGCGCCCCGTCTTGGAGCAGCTCCAAGAGAAATTGCCAGAGCTGAATAGGACCTGCGGGCGGAGGCCGGTGGGTGGTCACTCAGGCGTCCTGACCTCTGGCGCTGTTGTCGCTTTGATGACCCAGGAATCTGGGTGCCCTCACTTCCAGCGTCTAAAAGTCTTCCCTCCCACTCAGAGATGCCTCTATCTAAGAGATTCAGACTCCCGGGTCCCCATCGCAGAGATTCAGGAATTTGGCTGCCGCACCTTGACGACGCAGGCATCCAGATTCGTTTCTTTCCTCTTTTATAATTCAAGCGCCAGGGCACTCGCACCTTGCCCCGGTGAAACTAGCGGGTCCTAGTTCGCCCCGGACCCAGGATTGGAGGCCCCGCCCCTTGCCCGTATAGCGGCTTAAGCCCCGCCCCGTCGCGGTCACGTTCCAGGCTGCGTCCCGCCCCCCTTAGCGGCGTAAGCCCCGCCCCACCGCTGTCACTCTCTAGACCCCGTCCCATCAGGCTCCTTGGCCCCGCCTCTCTAGTCTGCAGGGCCCCCACGACTCTCACCTCGGTGATGAGTTTTGGGGTAACGAGCCAAAGTTGTGCGGTCCGAGTGCTGGCTGGATTGGGAGGGAGCGGGCAGTTCTGAAATCGGGTACCCCTTCGCAGAGGCTGGGCCATCCGTATGCAGCCCCGAGTCCCAGGAGGTGGCACAGTCCGAGCCCGCAGCCCCCCACGAAATGGTACAGTCTGCGCGCGGCTCCCCGCCCAGGCTGTTGCTCCAGCAGCCGGCTGGGTCGAGGCCAGTAGGATGGTCCCAGTTGGTGGCGGTGGCGATCCCCTGCGCTTGCGACCACGGATCGGTCCCTCCGGCCAAGCTGGTGCTTTTCAGGCTCGTTGCTCCGTCCCAACTCGCGAAAGGCCCGGCGGGGCTCAGGGCGTGGGAGACGCCGCTCCAAGTGCCCGAGCCGGTGTACGCCTGCTCTGTCCAGTCTCCCCACCACGGAAGAGCCTGAGCCGAGAGCTCTGCGAGGAGAAACGAACCCCGAGTGAGGGAAGCCCGGGTGTCCCGGGCCCTCGGAGCGTCACAGCGCGGGCGCCCGGGGCCCGGGGCCCGAGACCCTCCCATCCAAGGCATGCCACACTTGGCAGTCGGGTCCCAATCCGGATCTTCACGCAGGATCCGGGATTCGAGCCCGCCAATCCCTCTCCCGCCGCCCCTTCGCATACACTCACCCGCCCCCCACGAAGAAGCTTCTGGGTATGCTAATGTTGAGCCCCAGTCCAGCTGCGGGAACCCTGCGAGGGGTAAGAAAGTAGCGTTAGGGAAGAGGTGAGCACTGACGCGAGACCCCCTTCCCCCAACTCCAGCCTTTATGTGTCGTGGACTTTTCCTGCCCTCAGGCCCCCAATCCCGGCAGTACCCCATCATCCTTGGGCGCCCAAGCAAGGGATACCGTCTCTTCCTGCCTCAGAAGTAGGGGCAGGCCTCCCCACTTCTTCCCCAGCACCCCCTGGGTCCCAGGTCACAGCCACCTCTCCAGCACGTGTCGGCTGTCAGCGCGTCCTCCTGGAGCGCCAAATCAGGCAGGTAGAAGCCGCAATCAGTTCCTTCTGTAGGTAAAAAAGGGAATTAGGGCTTGGGGTTCAGCAGTGGGCCCCCCTCCCTGAACACCCACCCTGGTCCAGCAGCCGCTTACCCAGACCTGGCAGCGTGCTCCCTGGGGGCACCTCCTGGGGGGGTGCTTCATCCCAGTTCCACAGATCCATGGGTGCTTAGCTGAGTCTGTTCAGCCTTTGGGGAGGGAGAGAGGGATGGTGAGCCAAGCAAGACAGATAGGGACCCTGAAGTCTGGACACCATCCAGGCCTCTGCTCCCACTTCCCCAGGTCCCTAGAATCTTGCTCCCCACTTTCTCAGACCAGAGGTGATGGACCTCAGCCCTCTCCTCCTTCAGCCCCAGGTTCCCAGATACCCAGACAGTTCTTGGCTTACCTCTGGCGTGTCCCTCTGTCCCTCAATCAGGGGTCTCAGCCCCATTTCATACCCTACACCCCTCCCCTGGGGCCTGGGCAGGGGGGTATTTTCCAAGACGTCAGAGCTGGGGGTCTCAGCCTGGGTCGAGTTGCAGGGGCTGAGGCGGGGCAAGCTGTCCCCTACCCCCTACAGGGATGGCTGCCAGCCTCAAGGTAACGGGTTGTCCTGCTGGGGGGGGGGGGGGAGGAAGGGGGCAGGGCTTGGACTTGGAGAGGAGCTGGGGCACAGCAGGTTGAGCAAGATCTGGGGTGCAGATGGTGTTTAAGGGGTGATGTGAGCCGTGCAGGGGAGCTTGTTTCCACCATTTTAGGGACTTGTTACTGCGACATGGGGGGCAGTGTGGGAGGAGGGCCTGGGGTCAGCAGGGCTGCGCCAGGCTTATCTGCAACAGGAAAGGGGATTTCCGGCCAGACCCCTGTTCGGCCTACGTCACAATGTCACAATCTGCAGGGTGACCGTAGGGGGGGATGGGCTGGCGGGGGTGATGTCAACCTGGGATCCCAGGCCTAGTTGTCCCTTTGAGGGCTTTGGGGCTGCTCTGCAAAGCTGTCAGTCATGCTAATAGCCCCATCAACAATGTAAACTGTCACTACAGGAAAAATAATAGTCAACACGGATTGCAGCTCTCTGCATGCCATCAACTGTGATCTGTGGTTCTTTTGTGAGGGAGGTACTAGTTTTATCCCCATTTCAGGGAGAACACAGAAGCAGTCTTTCCACCTTTTGTGGGATGAGTCCATGTCCTTCCAAGGCTAGAATAGTTTGGGGTAAACATATATGATTTATGGAATTAAAAAAATTTAAAAAAAATTTTGGGCCATACGTGGTGATGCTCAGGGCTTTACTAGGGTGCTGGGGATAAAAATGCTCTATCTTTAGATTTTTTTTAGAGGAAACAATGGTATATGAAAGCTGTCTTTATAAGGAAATATGCACAGGTATTTTGGGGGTGAAGTATTTTGATGTTTGTAATTTGCTTCAGATGATTCAGCAGAACAAGGTATACATTCAACATGTACATAGATACATGCAATATTTGGGACATAATTAGGCTAAAAAAAGAAGTTGTCTATCTGAAATTTATGTTTAACTTGGCATCCAGATATCCTGGTGTTTTTTGGTGGGGGTGGGGGATACACCTGGCAGTGCTCAGGGGTTACTTCTAGCTTGGCACTCAGAAATTACTCCTGGCAGTGCTTGGGGGACCATATGGAAAGCTGGAGATCGAACCAAGATCAGCTGTGTGCAAAGCAGTTACCTGCTGTATTATTTCTCCAGCCCCATCCTGGTCTTAAGTTATTGGTTTGGGCCATACCACAGCAGTGCTTGGGGTTTACTTTTGGGAGATTTCTGGGGGACCATGTGGGGTGATGGGGATAAAACTAAGGTTGGCTGCATGAAAGGCAAGTGTCCTACCTGCTATATTATTGCTCCAACGCTTCCTGATTTTCAATTATAAAATAGTTTTTTTTTGTTTTTGTTTTGGAGGCTACACACACCTGACAATGCTCAGGGGTTACTCCTGGCTCTGCACTTAGGAATTACTACTAGTGGTACTCAGGGGATCATGTGGGTTCCTGGGCGTGAACCATGTGCCAGGCAAGCACCTTGTCCTCTGTGCTTGCTCCAGCCCTATAAAAATATTTAATTGAGGCATCACATTACAATAGTGAAGTCCTTGTTTTCCCAGTGCGGAGTTACTATACCAATCTCTCTCTACCAGCCTGTTTCCAGGTCTGTTAATCCTGTCTCAGGGCTTGTTGCATTGGGGATTGTCTAGTCCCTCTCTTTGCTTCTTTATACTTTGCTTCACTTAATCACTTAATCACTTAACTTCCCGTTAGTCGTCGATTTGCTCGAGCGGGCGCCAGTAACGTCTCCATTTGTCCCTGTCGCGTGCTAGTGTAGCCCAATGGCATCTCTTCGCTCCGGGAACATGGAGGGCCTCAAACCGATCGTTCATGATCTTGACAAAGAAGTCTGACCATCTGGTAGGTGGGCGGCCACGCGGTCTCTTGACATCCCGTGGAATCCAATCAGTAACAGCTCTAGTCCAACGGTCGTCTTTAAATCTCATTACGTGACCAGCCCATCTGATTTTCGACACCTTGGCATATGAGACAGCGTCCCTGATCCTTGATCGTCGACGGATGTCAGAACTCCGGATTCGTTCTCTATTCCGCCCGCACGGAAGAGCCTGGCAAGCTATCCGCTGTGTATTCGATATGCCAAAACCAGTAACTACAACTGGTCTCATTCATACTTTGCTTATGAGAAGATATCTGGCATTTCTCACTTTCTATAGCACAGCACCCTCCAATTGCATCCAGGTTGCAGCAAAGTTTCATCTTTCCTCATAGCCAAGTATTTCATTGTGTATATATTCCACTCTAGTATCCTGTTGTTTTGTTTTGCTGGAATCCACTCCAGGTCTCACATATGCAAGGCATGCACATCTCTGAGCCACAGTCCTGTTTCTAAATCTGATGTTCTAAGCCCTGGTTGTTTGGCCTTGGAGATGGTGCTCATGCGCCTTCTGCTATATTCTTATTTACTGTGGAATTTCTTAGGTCAGAGCGAATACAGGTGGTAATGCTTTTGGTTGATCCTGGTTCTATCCCCAGCACCATATATGGTTGCTAGATCACCCACTGCTAGGAGCAATCCCTGGGCATTGAAGGATATAGCTCAAAAAGCATTTAAAAAAATCCCGGGGCTGGAATGAGACTACAAGTAGGGTGCTTGCCTTGCATGTGACCACTTGGATTCAATCCCTGGCACCCATATACCATTGAGCACTGCCAGAAGTGATCCCTGAGTAGAGAACCTCAGGAGAATGTCCTGAGCACCAATGGGTGTGGCCCTGAAACCAAAACCAAACAAAAAACTTAAATCCCCTTACTTTTGCTGCCCAGCCTCCTCCCAGACCTTCAGCCAGTACTTTTTTTTTTTTTTGGCGGGGGGTGGGTTCACACCCGGCGATGCACAGGGGTTACTCCTGGTGGCGGTGCTCGGGGGACTATTTGGGATGCCAGTGATAGAACTCGGGTCAGCCGCATGCAAGGCAAACGCCCTACCCCCAGTACTATCTCCCCAGCCCCAGTACCTGGACTTTTGAGGGCATTCACTGACCAGTCCTTAACCACTTAACATGTGGGGGGGGGGGCGGGGTGCGTCCTGGGGCCGTTCTTTTGTCTGTTACAGAGGGCAAAGGGCTTCAAGGTCTACACAGTAGACTGGGTGGTGGGTTTGGACCCCGCATGAGGTCTGTGAGCCACAGAGCCCTTGGGTATCATCCATTGAAAATCAGCCTGTGGCCCTCCAGGGAGTCCTGACCTGCTTCTCCCCTGCCCCCAGCCTCTTCCAGATTGGCTGTCTCTCCTGGTCAGTCCGTCCTTCTGCAGCTTCCTGCCTCCAACCTGTTTTCCCATCTATTTTTGCCTTTCCTCGAAGCTTCCTTTCCATTGTATTGTCTCTAACTCTCCCTCCTCACCTAACGGCCCTCTCCCCGCCCTTTCACATTCAAAAGCCTTTCTACCATCCATTGGCTTCTAGTCTCTTCCCTTGCCTCCCTGACTGCAGTGAGGTCAGGAGGATTAGTGATAGGGTGGGGGTGGGGAGGTGGGGGTTACGGGTCCTAGGGCAGGACAGTTCAGACTAGGTGGCAGGAGGTTGAAGGGCACTTCCTGCCCTCACCTCTGACCAGACTGGAAAATGTGACGTCAGAGATGGGGCAGCAAGGGAAGGCCGGAACAGAGGAAATTTGACACCTCTCCTGGGGGCTGCTTTCAGAAGGGCCTTTAAGGCTATTTCCCCTCCCCCTCCCTGTGTCCTTCTCAGCCAGGATTCTGAGGACTGTCTCTGGGAGAACCTCACCCCCTCCCCAAGCCGCAGCTCCTGCCTCTGCCTGGCTGCCTGCCCAGCCATCCTCACAAACCTCCAGCCAGTACCTGGTAATCGCTAAATGATAAATCTCTGATGTCCTTCCCGGGCTTGATTTTACGCTGCCTGCCATGGTGTGGATTCTCCTAAAAGGGCTCTTTAGATGGGCAGGCAAGCTTGGTGCTGGGAATTTCTTCCCCATTTGCCCAGAATCAGAAAGAATAACCTTGAGCTACAGATACTGAGACCAGAAATGGGTGCTTGCAAAGACAGAGAAAGAGACCCCGAGAAGCCTTCAGACCCACACATACGAGCAATTTGGCTGTGTTTTGCAGTGTAGAGGATCTGGAAAATAATCTCAGAGATGATCAAGGGAGAGAAGAGCAGACTAGGAGAATGACAGGAAGAGTCCCTGAGGCAGTTAATTCCTCTGGGAAGTCCTCCCTGACACTAAGACCAGAAGCCTGGCTCCACCATCCCAACCCTACCATTCAGAACCGTCACTGGCTATGGGCCTATTTTTTGCCACTAAACTATCATGTATAAGGTAACAGGGCTTGGGACTCTGAGTCCTCACTGTCTCAAGCCTTTGCAGCATGGGTCAAGCCTCAGCAGCTGGGCTCCTACGATACAGGGCCCAGAAGACCCCCTGGTGGTGGAGTCAGAGACCAGACCCTGGGCTAGCTGTGGCATGGGCTGCTGCTGCCCTCCTTGGAACGGGCTGCAGTCTGCATAAATGTGCAAGGTTTCCAGAGGTAACAGGCACACAGTAGGATCTGAGAAGGCTCACCGGCATGTTTGTCAGGCTCCTGAGTATTCCCAGGTGGGATGCCAAGCCTTGCTCCCCAGAGCATTTCTAAGCCCAGCCAGTGATGGAAATGAATGTAAATTTATTGAAACTGGTTT